AGAACTGTTACACTGAGCAGGGAAAAAAAGAATATTGGAGGCATTCATCGACATCCATTCCCCACTGAGCTTATTCTCTACCCAGCCAGCCATCCTGCGCTGTGGTCTGGTCACTTGTTAAGATGAAGAGCAAGATGGATGGAAGGATGGAGGAAAGGAAGGAAGGGATATTTCAGTTTATACCAGAAACCACGGCCATATCACCCCTCCAGAACTTGGCTCATAACTGGGGAGGGGCCCTGGATCAACTGCCCCAACCAAACAGCCGAGGATCCAGTAGAGAAAAATTAATCCTCCCTTCTTCTGCTAAGGTTGAGAGGCTCACATGTGAATATCCACCCCTTTTTTACGGCCATTTTTGTTCTCCTAAGCGTAAGTGCCACCTAGAAAGTAGACCTTTGGTCTAGATGGGCAAGGTAGAAATCTAAATAAAAAGAACAGGACCGAGTGGATGTTTTTTTTTTTACACATTCCCGGCAGCAGCAGAAAAGGATGATGGCATCGGTGTTGGCTGTGATGACAAGACAAGTGAAGATTTACATCCCTAGAAAGAACGCAAGGCGATCCTAATAATTTTCAGAGCACCCTTTGTCCTGTTTGTTGACCAACGGCGAGAATCTGAAAGTCTCAGAACATGGTCGGGAAGGGTGGATGGAAAAGCGTCTCCAGGCGCAAGCTTGCAATCCAAGAAAAAGAAACTGCACACACGTTAAGTTCCCACCATTTATTGTAAAACTAAGTGGGCTAGGCACTAGAACAGAGCAGCATAAATCTCCTGGCTCCCAAACAGAGCTCGCTTGCTCCTGGATCGTCAGTTCTCTGACCCGCTGGTGTCGCCCTTCTCATCTCTGGCTTCCATCAAGCTGCTCTCGTCGATGTTCTCCAAAGAGGAAGCGTGTTGTAGAGACAGGTCAGAGATGGCCATGTAAGGGAGCTGGTTTTGCTCCGGGTACAGCCAGGGCTTTGTGTCGGCATGATGCTCCTGCTTCCAGGAAGTATACTTCAGGCACGCTTTGTGCAGCTTCTTCATCAGCTGGGCCCCCAAGGTTGACGAAAGAAGAGAATTGGGGAAAACATGCCATGAGAACAACGAAAACCCAAAAACCATCCAAGGCATTTTGCAGCCCGAGGCAAAGAATAGGACAGTAACGGCCCTTCCCCTTGGAAGTAAAAAAGCCAGCAAACTTTCAGGCGGGCCTGCACGGGGGGGGGGGGGGAAGCGAACTGGCGACTAGTTCA